ATACATCTATATATACACTGTCACAGATACTTGTCTTTGAGTGAAGATTTAAGGTGATAGGAAATTTAAATAAATGCAACTTGAATCTTTACTGAAGCTCAGTGTTTGGCACAGAATTCATGTTCACTGCTGTAATAAATAATAATGATTAATATAATATTGGCCATATTATATTTACATTACCAAAGTGAGATGACTTTAGTCTCATGAACAACATTAGCTAATTGTTATTTACTAGCTAATCTTAAATGACTGTTCATTCAGTACAATCATGTTTTACAGTCCTGTGGTCTCAGCCTCAGATACTTATCAAATCACACAAAGCTCATGTAGAAACAAATGTACAAAATATGTTCTCCTTCATTTCTGTCAAACAAAGCTTTATGAAACGTTTCCAGCTGTTAGTATCATGATTGCTAGGCAACCTGGGCAGAGCGACGGAGGCTAGACCGTCCCATCTCACAAGCCTCGCACTTCCGGCCGCAGCGATCTTTGAGTACACGGCCCTTGAGAACCGTTAAGGCTGCGTACTTTAAGGCTGCAGACCCTGAATTGGGAAACAGTCACTGAATTGGAATACAGCCATACATACATGTTTTGGTTCGTGCAACTGGTCCGTCCGGTTATTGTCTCCCCAGAAACATTTCCGTTGTCTTTTTTCCTATTTCCGTTGTGTTGTGCGTGCTTTTGTAGCATTTTTCTTTTTGCAGCATTTTTCTTTTTGCAAGTGTTTTTCTTTTCGCAGCATTTTTCTTTTTGCAAGTGTTTTCTGAAGTTGCAGTCCGTTTGGCCTCTCAGGGCCACCGTAAATTCTCCTTCTTTTCATCTTTGTGTTACTTGAGGAAAGAAAAAAAAATATCAAGGTACAGTACTTACGTTTGACAAGCACATATAGAATGAATTAACTGAATTATAATTTAATATATTAATTATCTCTAATTTTATAAATTCATTAGAGTGTATAAATTTGCCACCAAGGAAACAATGCTACCTGCTGTATTTATTAAAGCTCTTTTCACATTTGTACAAAGGCATCCAATACAGCATAACAATTACTGCACTATTTTTTTCAACAAAAAAAAAAGAAACATAAATCTCCTTTTAATAACAAAGCCTACTTGAAATGATGATGTGATGAAGAAAAAAAACAAGCAAGAGCTAGAGCACTTCAATATGAAGTGGGGCATCAACAAGTCTCTGAAACAGTAAGCAACAAAAAGAAGAAAGAAAGTGTACTTTATTGATCCCCGTGGGGAAATTCCTCTCTGCATTTAACCCATTCACTCAGTGAAGCAGTGGGCAGCCATTGGGCACCCGGGGAGCAGTGTGTAGGGACGGTACCTTGCTCAGGGGTACCTCAGGGTAGCTGTTCAGGGGAATCGAACCCCCGACCTTCCGATCATGGGGCCACAACTCTACCTACTGAGCTATCCCTGCCCACAAAACAAGAAAAATTTAGTAAGAGCAGCTTGTGAAGACGTAAGTTCTCATGCTAAAATAAAAATGCAAAGTAATCATAATCGTCATGTAAATATTTTTGAAGAGAGTGGTATGGCTGAGTCAACATGTGTATATTCATTTACCATTTCTTCTTGTAAAGTAATTAAAATTTATGAAAAATCAAATATTATTGCTTCACAAATTCTTTGTATAATGCCTGCTGTTTGTTCAGTAACTCTCACAAACACCCTAATTATTGAAACACTTATTAACAAGACTCCAGTGTCAAAAGTAAAAATAATATGATACAATTTTACTTCTGTAAAATTTCTCCAGATCACCGAGGCTTAACTGCACAAAACCTCATATTTACACACCCTGAAAATCTGCAGTAAACTATATTCTGGAACATGCAAACTATATTTTGTCCACTGTGAATATATCACACAGCTTACTGCAGAATGTATCATATATACATGAATATAAACATAGAAAATACAATCACATATCTCCAGTAGGTCCAAACATAAAGCTATTTACAAGCTGCTTGCATTATGTGCCAAAAGTCTCTCCAGTTTTGTCTCCATCTACGGCTGTTGCTGGTACTGTCCCTCTGTGGCGGTGTAGAAGTCATCCAGGACACTCTGTAGGTAGTCAAATGTAGGCCTGTCTTCAGGTCTGTTCTTCCAACAGGACATCATGATATCGTACAGCTCAGTGGGACAGTTGTCGGGCCGAGGCATCCTGTAGCCGCGCTGTATCGAGGACATCACCTCTCCTTTAGTCATGCCTGCAGACACCAAATTAGCGTAAATACTGCTGGAAAGGCTTCCAATGAGAACCTTTTTGTACTCGCAGTCACATTCTCAACCCGAAGTAGAACACAAAAGTCACCAGCAGAGGGCAGTCTTTCTCAGCATAACGCCTTACTGCTCAGTGAGGCTGGGTCATAAAAGTTATGGTTACAGTTAGCTGTGTCAGGGGAGAGGTTTATGAAGTTCAGACCAGTATAATGCAATAAATACATCAACACAAACACTTCACTCAGTCATGTAGAGACCAGAGTCCCAATAAACATTGGCTTGTGATGCCTATGTGTTTACAGGGTTCAAAAAAGGGCTTAAATTTAAATGATTTCCTGAATACATTTTATAAGTGCACAATGATTTAAATTAGCTTTCTTTTTTTTCTGAGTACTAGTTTGCATTATTTTTAGTTATTTAAAGTGCTTTTTTTTACAAGTAGTATCAGCTTTTAGTTTAGCTTCAGTCATCTGTAATAACCATAAATGAATAAATATTACTTGTAAAACATACCTAATACAAACGGTTCTCCATCTGAACTCTGTATTGTTAGAATTTCCATCATATTATTGAACCCAATATTTTAATTTAATAGGTCAAGGCCCTTTAATCCATTACAATGCATTACATTTTATATAGTCATGATAAAAAGACTAAGGTTTTACATACCAGGACATATTAAAAACTAACCTGGTTATCAGCAGGTCTTAAAGTTAGGTAAACTCAAGTGCGGAAGAAGAGCAAAGCATGACACCATGTCATTATTTATTTATCAAAAACTAAAATGCAAAAGCAGTTATCAACAGCGCTGCGGTTAATATTTACCTGGGTAAGGGATTTTCCCATAGGTGATAATCTCATAGAGCAGGACTCCGAATGACCACATGTCAGATTTGATGGTGAAGGTGCCATAGTTAATAGCCTCTGGAGCAGTCCACTTGATGGGGAATTTGGCTCCTGTGGAATTCACACACAAACAGACACTGTGAAATTATAATTCTATTATTCCCTCACACAATCCCAAAGATCGCCTGTTCTGTTTTTGTAAATGAGGTTTAGGGTTAAGTGTGTAGCTGGATTTATTTCAAAACGTCTATTGCAAATAGTTTCAGCATCCTGGGTCCAGATCAGTGATCACACGGATTTCATAAGGTTTCATAAGTCACTTGAGAAATAGCATTCAGACACTTCCTCGTGCACTTTACTGCACCGTTGCTTTAATTTGAAAAATATGAACTATGAATTATTTTTTCCCCACAATTTAAAAAGGCCAAAACAGGTTTTTGAAAAATTCCCACCATATATTTTAAAAGTTAAGTAATGAAAGCGGTCATCGATGACATGGTGGTAGAGTGGTTAGCATTGTTGCCTGATTCTCCTTTCATAAACAAAGAACTCCACATCCTCAGTGTTTCATTGATTACATTGCACAGACTCTTTTGGTAAATCCTTTCTTCATTATATTAGAAGGGATTCACTCAATACAATGCACACGACAAGCATCTGCCATCTTTCCACAAAAATCCTACTGCATTTCACTCTTGTCTTGGCTATAGTGAAATGGTCATCAGCGTGCTAAATGGCAAACTGACATCCAAGTCTCAGGTTTCTGAACTCTGCAGGATGTTTCTTCAGAATGTCTGCTGTTTACCACACTTTGTGTTTTTGCTGCCTAAACACTTCACTCTGTTTCAGCTGACGACAGAATCTTTATCTCATCCTTTTGTAATTCTTGAAATGCACTGTATAAAAAAAGGCAGGGTGTGGGCTGTCTTTAACTCACTCTGGCTTCTGTCTAGCTGCTCTGCCATACGGTTCCCTTATCTATGAAAAAGATTTCTAGTGCTCCAGTTCTCAGTCACCTCCCTGACCACGCCTAAGACTGAGACTTTATTGCTGAAGTAGACAATTTGAGCACTCTCAGAATAACCCTGTTCATTCCAAATGTTTGAAATGTCACAATCGCTAAATGGTCAGTGTTTTGGAAATGGTGGTTAACCCCACACATCAGTCTCCTAGCTCGGTTCCTGTCCTCCACTGTCCTCCAGTTCGTGGCATGTTACAGGTGTGAAATCAAAACCATACTGCGTAGGTATAAACTTTATGAACAGACAAACCAGTTTTCCAAAATTTGACTGAAAATAGTTCTAAAACTATGTTTAATTTTTGACATTTTATTTATTTATTTTTTCTAATCGAATGACGGGGAAATGTTGGCTGTACCAAAAGGACTCCCTGCTTCATTTTAACCTTGTGGGAGTGTGAAAGGAGGTAGTGTAGTTTGGGGGCATCAGCGGTATTGGTCACTGTGGTGTGATTTCAGTGAGACAAAAGTGGAGCAACTGGTACATGAAACCAAAAGTGTCTGATTTAACATAAATCTTTGCGGGTGCTTCCACTTCTCAAAAGGGGCTTTTTGTTTCACTATGTCACAAGCATCAAGCCAAGGTAGTGTCTCATTTGTGCTGGGAAAGCCCCCTTCCACAGAAAAAGTGGAGACGTGTTCAAATTCTCATACACATACACGCACACACATACACATAGATACAAACATACAGGCACATACACATATATGCGCAAACACACATACACATACCCATACATACACACATACACACTTACCCTCTCTGGCAGAGTACTCGTTATCCTCAATGATTCTCGCCAAACCAAAATCTGCTATTTTACAGAGCAGGCTCTCAGACACCAGGACATTAGCCGCCCTGAGGTCTCTGTGAATATAATTCTTCTTCTCAATGTACGCCATGCCCTCTGCTATCTGTAACAGAGCAAGAGGAAGGTGTGTAGTCTTAAGCATAAGAGTGAAAGGGAAAAAAATCAAAACCTACATAAAACAGAAGAAATGTGAAAGAAAAATAATCACCCCCGTTACAAGCAATTACAAGCAAATAATAACAATCTGTTATTAGGTTATGTGGATGGATGGATGGATGGATGGATGGACACTGCCAGTGTGATGCTGGGACAGAATAACCTCATGTTTGAAATAAGAAAGTTTCTTGGAGAAGTGAAAGTATGCAGGGTTCACAGTAGTGAGACAAGTGAGCAGCGAGGTCACAAAGAAGCATATTGGTGTAATCACCTGTGCAGAGAAATCAATGAGCTTGGGCAGCAGCAGTCTGCATCCTGTGTCGCTCTTTAAAAAGTCTAGCAGGCTCCCTAAAGACGAGACAGAACAGAAAACAGCGTCAGTGCTTTGCATGTCTGCATCTATGCCTATACTGGAGTGTTGACTCTGTGATTATAGGCCACAAAATTTCATAATAACCAGTTCAGTTTTTCTAAAGACTTTTGACATTTACCGTTTGCCATGAATTCAGTGATGATGTAGATGGGTTCTGTCTTGGTGACAACAGCGTAGAGCCGCACCAGCCTGTCGTGCTGCAGAGTCTTCATCACGTTGGCTTCGTCCAAAAAAGCTTCAACCGTCATGGTTCCCGGCTTCAGCGTCTTCACTGCCACTTTGGTTGTGTTGTTGTAGTATGCTGAGTGGAGAACGTGAAGAGTAAGCATGGGGAAAGAAGAACTTTAAAGCATGACATGCTCTGCTACATGGCTTTGGACTGTTTTCAATGTTTCCCTGTGGAAACAAATACATTTCCACAAACAGTTTTGGGGAAACTGAAACAACTACACCAAACAAATGCAAATTAAAGGAAAGAACGGGAAGGAAAACACTGTGTTTACTGTTTAACGTTCAGTGACAGGTGAGAAAAATATGCCATGTTGTCAAAAGCTGACCACTGATGCATGACTGGACACATTTGTTCGCATGTTACAGTGTTTGTAAAGGTGGATTTTTGTTTCCATTTTAAGCTGGTTTCAGTTATGATGTAATGCAGCACATCTGTAAATGAATATTCCACAAAACTGCATAAAGGAAACAAGAATCCATGGAACAAATGTTGGAATCTGCTGCTACTCATAACACTCAGTGTCATTATGAAGTCAGGCATGACACCCTTTCCATCCGTTAAACACCCTGTTATTGGTAATTCAGGTAGGTGTGAATATTATCTGTCACCCAAATTGAAAGTTGCATAACTTTTATTCAGATCCTGGCAGGTGCAGTAACATATCTGCATTAGATAATGCAACTGCTGTGCAAATTACATTGCATTCATAATTTATTCATGACTTGTTGGCAGAGCTATTCTAAAGATCCTTTGGGCCATCCTTGGGTCAGGTTGTGTTAGCTTTGTTCCCTTCGAGTTATAAAATCCTGACAAAAACCTAATTTTTGTGACTTTGGTTCAAGAACAAAGGAAAAGTTGTTGCCTTACATAATGATAATATTAATATGATTTATGAGTTGATTGAATGTCACATTGTAGCGTAGAAACTGCATACAGTACGTCAGTTTGAATGCAAAGACGTAAGGTGAGTTTGAACTTTTATTATAACTCCCTCTGTGTATAATTCACAGAGTTTTATTGTTTCAGAGTCAGTTATGGATGTACTGCCAACTGGTAAATTTAGTCAGGTGAGTTTCTGTAATGGTAGCACTTGCTTGTGTTTTTTTTTTTACACACAATTTCATTGTACATGTACAATGACAATAAAGTGCTATTCTATTCTATTCTATTCTATTCTATTCTATTCTATTCTATTCTATTATCCCAGACCTCAGCCACAGGGAATACACCTCTATAAATTCATCACGTGTAGCTTTTTGAATCTAATTGTAAAGATGCTGTTAGTGATGTCAGACAGTTGTTGTCGTTGAAGTGAAAATTATATCTCGAAGTATTGACATAACTATCACATAATTTCCCACTAACAGAGATGGCACAAATGGCAACACACTTGTTCTCACATACTTCCCCTTATATTTAACGAAGTGAAAAAGCAGTTGTGTAAGTCAGAAGCCACAAAAAATCTTTGAAAAAAGCGCTTAAAAGCCGTAAAACAAAGTCAGCTTCGGTTTGTTCATGAAACTGTGCAATAAAACCTTCTCTGCAGTAGCGCTTTTTACAAATGATATGCATATATTTGTTTGTAATCATTCATCTGAAACCTCATACGCAAATCACCCCGCGGACTCAAACATTTCCTCCACAGACGACAGCACTTATCGACACATGAATGGGATGGTCTGAGGCCAGAGGCAGACATGCAGGCGGTCGAGGTTTGGGGTTCTTTTTGTAACAGAGCGCGGTCCTGTACCTCATGGACAACAAAAGTAGGAAGTCATTTTTGTTTTAATTAGAGGGAAATGGAACTTCCTTGTACCGCTCACTTCCCTGCGTCTGTGTTTACTGTAAATGATAGAAGGGAATTAGAAATCTTGTTCCTTCATAAAGGAGCTCATAAAAAGATATGCTCCCTTGTTACTTATCTGCTGTCTCCCAGTCTTTGATTTTCTCTTGTCAAGTGCCAAATCCGTGTTAGCTGCCACTTACAGGCCAGCCGCCTTCTCGGAAACAACGCTGGGAATGTCATAGAATTCATGAGGTAATAATTTACCAGTGTTAAAAGGCCACGTGCCCTACCTCTTGTGCTCTTTGTGAAACAATACTCTCGTGTATCTTAAAGGGACCTCGTTGTGGTCTTTATTTGAAGGGCTAGAGTGGTAAAAATCATTGTGCGTTCCCTTTCTTTGGCAATTACTTCCCTTGTCAACTCTTGGACATAAAAGTCATTTCTACTCACCCATCCAGACTTCTCCAAACTGGCCTGCTCCAAGTTTCTTCACCATCTTAATAGAGTCTTTGGATATCTCCCAGGCATCCTTATCCCAAGGTTTCTGAGCTTTGGGTTTTGCACAAGGACGCTCAAGTTTACGGCACAGGCCATCCGGTTTGTCTGGAAGGCACACACACAGACAGTGCTCAGTCTTCCTAATCAATAGCATAGCATGTGTAATCTTTTTGTAATGAGAAGATCAACATTGTTCTCTGATCAGCAAGTGTGGAGCAAAAGCTGGAAACCAATTAGCTTTGCTTTGCACAAACATAGGAAGCAGGTGGAGGGAGCAAAGCTGGCTCTTTTTGTCACTTGTTTCCAGGACTGGACTGGGACAAAAAATCAGCCCGGGCATTTTGACTAGAGAACAGCCCACCAGGTATTATAGGAAAAGCCATAAAACCTTTGAATGAAAACAAATGCTGTTGTGACAGTGATGTACACTGTCTTGTTGGTATATATGTATCAATATAATAAACTTAAACCTACACCATCCTCCCTATTCTGGTATTTTAAACAGTACTTATCAGAAATCAAACAACCCAATCAATAATTACATATACCTAACTAGCAGGGTTGCCAACTCCCAGCAAAAAAAATAGGGGACCATCCCCCACCCTCCGCCTCGTGATGTTTAATCGACGTAATCGACTTTATTTTATTGCCAGGGTAAAACAAATGCACAGAAACCAGTTATTTTTCTACAGTAATTAAATAGATTCAATATATTTCTGCAACAGAATTGCAGACTGCACATATGGTACTATAGCTTATTAGGATATAGATTAGACTTAATATTTACTATATACAATAATGAATTTTTATATATTTTACATCAGATGACCACTTTGGTTGTAAGATTCGGTTGTACTTATTAAAACCTAGACATTTTAAATGAGAATAAGAAAGAAAAGTATACGGCTGTGGCTCCAGCAAACATCAGCTGATACTAGAAAGTAATTAGTAGCTTAAACGCGTTGCTGTTGTTTAGCTTGTTTAGACAACCGCTGGTTTCGTCTTTCTGGCGCAAAGTGGGGGATAAACAAACGAGACGGGACTTAGGACAGCAAAGCCGATCAGCTGATCATTGATCAGTTTCATGATTGAAGTAGCAACAGGAGAGGCAGGGGGAGAGAATGAGAGAAGAAGAGGCAGCTATGGAGCGTAAAGACACAGAATAACTCCAGCTTTGTGTCTTTTTTAAATTTTTGCTGAAGTTCGGGACAAATGGTGTTTCACGCTACCCTGTGAAAAGGTTGTTAAGGAAGTTACTGTAAAAGTGGCTACAGTGTTGCTGTTTTTCCTCTACAGTATTCAGTATTACTTTTAATAATAGATTATTTTTTATTTACAGTTTTATTTTTACATTTATAGCATTATTAGGTTGCTTAATTTACATTATTATTACTTTATTTTTATTTGCAGTAATAAACAGTCAGTACTGTAAATGGATTTGCAGTAGAAATTAATCTTTTATTTTCCCATATAAAATAATATTTCACAGATACAGCATTTTAGTGTGAAAACAGACTTTTGGCTGCACTGTACTCACTGTGATAGTGTTTAATCATGCTGCTAATATCCCGAAAGGAGATTTTAGGAGAGATGTAGCAGCCGCCATTATCCAGCATCCTGATCTTGTAATGTTTCACTGAGTCTGTTCCCTGGGCGTCCACATCTCTGATGGACAACGAGTAACTCCCTGTGGAAAAATCATGAAGAAAAAAAAAAGAGTGACTGGTGATTCATGGTCATTCAAATCAAGTACATACAATGTCACAACTCCACGTGTCCAAAGTGGAGAATGCTGCTGAATGTATGTCGGTATCTCAGAGCTACCATGGTAGCCATACCTTTTGATGTTTCACTTTCTCTGATTAGATAAGCGCCTGGCTTGTTCGCTGGTGCCAGCAGCTGCCTCTCTGCATCCTTCCTTGTGATGTCCTTGAAAAACCAACTGCACGGAACAAAAAACATAATAAATATTTGGTAACATACATAACGTTGATGCTGAATGCAAAAATGAATAATGTAATCTGAATAACATGAAGTAATATTAGGAAACAAGTACATACTCCTCTGTCTCCATGGTGTCAGCTTGGGCCACATAGTTGGACGGGATGAATCCCTCTTTGTCGTTTACCAGAGACTTTGCTTTCCACCACTCACCATGTCTGTCAGTTCATAAATATACATATACATTTTAGAACAATCATTTGCATTGACAGAGATGTTCTGAAAAGGTCTTGAAAGATGATTTTTTTAAAATTAAATTCCATCGTTTAACTTTGTGTAATTCCTATATTCAGAGAAATATTATTTCTGAACTGAAATGTTATATTGTCTCATGGGCAAATAATTTAGCCTAAAATACATTCACACATTGCAGAAACCTTTTATAAAACTTATATGATATTTTTTATAACAAAAAATTTGCATTAACTGTTTAGTTGACAGTCATTTTCATACATCCTCAGCCTCAGCCTCATTTTCAGAGGCTCAAAAGTTACTGGACATTACAGAGGAAGAAGACATAATACCTGAAATTGATTCACCAAGTTAAACTTTTATATTTTGTCACTGTAATTTCAACTATGAGGCCAAAAGAGATGTCTTTGCAAGTGAGAGAGACCATCATTAGTCTGAAAAAACATAATAAGCCTCTATACGAGAGATGGCACAAAACTTTAGCAATGGCTAAATCCCAAATTAAGTGCATGCTGAAAAGATTGTTCCCGTGGTTAAGAAAAATAGCTTCACAACCAAGTCAAGAAGAACACGCAGTGAGGATATTTGTATCACTGTCATAGTCTGCAATTGAGAAATGGCTTTCTAAATGAAAATATAGAGGGGTTCAGAACACTCAGGGAGTGTCACCGGTGGGCTAGATTAAGCTTGCCACAAAAGCTAAACAAAATTTGGACAGATGAAACCAAATATGGAGAAGGAAGGAACCAGGCCATGATTAAAAAGAATAAAAAGAAATTTGGGGATTTTTTGCTTTGAATTTTTTGAGTTAGTGAAGAGAGAAGCCATCTGACTGACTGGGGGAGAGGAGAGGGAGACAGGGGGCCTGAAAGCTGAAGGCTTTGCCTCCCATTCTACTTTTAAATATTCTAAGAACCACAATAAAGTGCTTTACTGGGATGATGTGGTACGATGAGGTCTTTAACATAAGACAGGACCTGATCGTCCAGCACTTTCTATGTGAGGAGAAGAATTTTAGATCGGCATTAAACAGAGAGCCAATGAAGAGAAATACGCTCTCACTTTCTAGCCCCTGATTAAAAATCCAGACTACAAAGCATTTTTATTCAAATAGTAAAAAATAATCTTTATATGTAAAAGGATGTCTATCTAAAACTGGGGGGCTATATATAAAAGTGGAAGTGATTCTTGCCATTTGTAGAAATGATGATACATTTTCTGAGAATGAATCAGTGTACCATAAATACCAGACACTCACTCTTCTAGAATTTTCATCTTTTCTCCCTTCTTGAATCCTAAGTCATCGGGATGTGTAGCTTCATATGGGAAAAGGGCAATCACTATTTTACCCACCCCCTTTTGTTCTGAAATAGGAAAGAGAAAATTGTCATCATTAAACACATGCAAATAGGCTCATACATCAATACAAAGGTTGTTCTATTTTTAAACTATGTAAAGACCCAGGGGACAACATGTACAGAAACATCAGACAGAAGCAATTATAGGCCATGCACCTAGCTTATCAGTTTACTCAACCTACTTATAAGTAGCTGTAGTCTCAATCAGTAATGACTAATGATAACTTTATGTTTAAATTGCAACTTAGTTGGATGTACTTAAACGCCTTTGTGTACATTGCTAAGATAAAAGAGTTTTAATATAATGCGGAAAATTACATGGTTTACACGTCAAATGTAGTGACTAGCCTTCCTATAAGGATCTCCTATCATAACTAAGATTACTTTCTATTTTAACCTATACTCATATATTTGACTGGTTTATTTATTCTAAAGTTTAGCTTTAGAATAATTTTCTTAGTGAACTTGCTAAATTAGTAAATAAACCTTGAATCAGTCAAAATTTGCTTGTGAAATCTCAAAATGGGTCAAAGTTAAAACACTAACAAGATGAAGATGAAGATTTTGTCTTTCATGACTATGAGGACTTCTGGGGCCTAACTGTTTCACTATACATACTTTGAGGTGAGTGAATTCCCTATTACCTTAGAAGCTACCACATACAGGTGTTACCAGAAGTACAGTATAGTAGTACGAAACAATGAACAGACAGCAGATAAATAAACAAAAAACAAGGAAGAAAGGGTCGTACCCTCCATTTTTTGGAACACCTGACCCGGTAACAGTGAGTTATTCTGCAAAAGGAAACAATATTAAAGTTACACAGTGTCTTTCTATCATCATTACTTCCATTATTTTAAGGCAGACATTATTTACATAGAGATTTTTGCACAGACTTTTGTCATTTCCTTGTAATAGATGTCATCTTTTGCAAATGGAAAATTCTATTAGGCAGGAAACATTGAGCAACTTTTTTCAAAAACAAAACGAAAGGTCATATCTTTGATGCAATATGTAAAGAAAACTGAATCATTCTGTTCTTCATACAATACAATAATGACGAAAAAACCACATGACGATTATAAGTCAATTTTTGATTGAATGAAAACAATTGCATGCTTTCCATTTATGATTTGACTTTTTGTTATCTAACGATTTTGTTGCTGTTAACACTCAACCACACTTGAGATTGAGTGTAAGGTCCACCCAAGTCTTACTACTTACCTTGTTGACTTTTGGATTAAAGGTGGGGTCTCTAACATAGCGTGACTGTTCAGAATGGACAGCATGTTGACCCATTTTTTGGTCCACACCTCCGCTCAGACCTTGATTTAGCGTGGATTTCATGCAGCCCATTCTGTCTGCACGAGGAAGTGAGAAAAAGAAAGAGAGAAGAAAGCTGTTACAAATATACCATTTACACCTGCTGAAAAAACACAAAGCGTATAAAAAGTGTGGCAGCAGACACCTGTGACTCTTCAGTTCTTATATGTGAAACTGGTGTCATGTTTCCAGTGTTATTTATAAGTTCAACATAAAAGGGAAGATAACAAGAAGCGATAATAAGAAGTGGTTTCACAAAAACAAACTGCTGCACATGTGCAAATGTAACTGTAATAACTCCACGGCAGACCCGTCCTCGGTTTCATGCTTTTCAGCATCTTTATTATCACCGTTGCTGTCCTTGCACGCGGCTGCAGCTTTGCAGTTCGCAGTCGCACACACTAACACCAACCACATCAGGACCTATAAGTGAATGTGGCGTGATTGTTCATGCTGTCCAGCCGCACCACACCACTGACTGCACTAACTTTTATACTGCACTCTGATTTACATCTTATGGGAATGTCACAGGAAAGGTGCAGCACCACTTAGCACCAGAAATATAAAAATAATGATGTTGACCGCTAACTGGATTGTTAACATAATAGGGGTGCAAAGGTATGCATTGCTGAGTAATACTCTTTCTATCATACATCAAAAGGTGTAAACAAAAAAAAACAACTTTTATCATATTTATATGGGGAAGTATGTCCAGTACAATGGGTGTTTTTTTTCACCATTTTGCTCAAAACACAGATTGTTCTGTCTACAATGCGTTTTAATTTCTTGCTCTGTTTTTAGGGATGTTTCAGTGACCAAGTAAGCTGCTGCTGTCTTTGCAACTTTCAGGAAAAGAGCTTTCAGTAAAAACGAGAAGCAGAACAGGGAGGAATTGATGATGCAGTGTAGCCAAAATAGACTTGAATGAGACATTCTGCTACTTCTGCCTCTATATCCATAGCATCAGCGTCTTACAAGACCTGATGAGGTTTTACATGCACAGGTTCTGGACTGAGCACACGCTTTGTATCATTTATATCAGACCTGGGTGGGTTTAAAATACATATAAGTCCAAAATGCATATCTTCATTTGTGAGCTTTGAATGCCACCTTCAAGCTTCTGGCAGAGCCAAGCTAGCTCTTTCACCATTAAAGCTTATGCTAAGCTAGACTAATGACTTGCTGGACTCAGCTATATATTTAACAAGATTACAACTGGTAACAGTCTTTTAATCTAACTTTCAGCAACACCATGGTAACCAATGTTTCCAGTAGTCTAAATGTCATTAGCCATGGCACTTCTTACACAAACTCTAATATTTCAGGTGAAAAATTCTACGTTTGTTGAGTTGAGTAACTGAGTTACAGCAGTAACTCAACAAAAATTCAATAAAAATGTGAATGTCTCAAAGTAGTTCTTTAGAAAAAAATATGTTGCAATGTTACTGCTGCTTCTCTGTATTCTGACATGGCTGCAATTTATCCAATGGTGGTTTCTGTTCAGGAAAATCAAACATGTATTGCTGCAGTTTGCTGCATTGTTTTTTCTTCTTTTGACTTTTGTGTGGGTAGCTGTCTGCTAACCAGCATGAAGCCCACCGCCACCAATGTGCACTTGCTTTCTACATGCACACATACTGACCACATGCCCACAAAGATGACAAAGTCGCAAAGAAAAAACAACATCTTTTTAACTGGTGATGTTGGTTTTTATGAGAGAGAGGTGTTATAACTTTTAAAATATATAAAAGTCAAAAACATTAAAAGTATGTATCTCCTATATTGTAGTTTTAAGGACAAACAAAGTGATATTTGTACCTTGGGTTTAACAATGAAAATATTTTACAAAGGTAATGTGTGAACATAAAAAGGATTTTTTATATATGAGTAACTGTCTAAATTAAAACTAAACTTCCTATGAGCGTGAGAAACACCACCTTTAAAACCATTTATACTTAGATTGTCAAGCAATGTGGCTTAAAAGCACAAAAATATAAAGCACTAAAATTAAACCAGGTCAAATAAACTTTGAGTGCTTCCCTACAGGGAAAAAAAGGGGAAAAAAAGAACAAAGCATGTTGCTGTAGAGCAGAAGTGCACGTTGGTTTTTAACATCTGTTATTCAAAGTACAACGGAAAAATAAATAAATAAAAAGCTTCTGTCCTTCTCCAGGAAACTAAAGTGCACAGCTGAACCGCAGAGAAAAGGGGAACATGTTCAACTAGTCCTGTAGGTCAGCAAATAGCCTTTTAAAATTTTTAAAAAGCTAGAACAGAAGTTCTAAGGAGATGAGATGTTCTTTGGTGAATTGTGTCAGGGCAGTCAGAAAATAAAACAGGACAAAACAAGAAAGAAAACCCCCACAAAAAATGAATTAGCGTGGGTTGTTTTTTTGTTTTGTTTTGTTTTTTTGGTGCTAGCTAACATGCTCTTCATACTGGCGCTAACATGTTGATTTTTAGTCACCTTTAGCATATGGTAGCATGCTAATGTACGTATGCTAATTGGAGAAAGCACTGCTTAGGCTGGCAGAAATATTATTAGATTATTATATTGAGGCATATTAGGTTTTCGACCAAGCCAAACAGCTTAAATGAAATTTTGACTTGATAACATTATTATCAGTAATAGTGAGGTAGTACATTTTAGGGAAGAAAATATGACAAACCCCAACAATAGGGTTCATCTGAAAATATTTGATCTGATACCAAAGTTTTTCTTTAGCAACACCAAAACCTTGCTTTCTGCATGCTAAAAGCATTTACTTCTGTTGCTTCTAGGCTGCCGGTGATAGCAAAGCACACCTATCCTACCATATAACGTTAAAAATAGTTAATATCTTATATTCATGTGGAAGGACTGAGTGCTGAATAAAGTTGTTTGAGTAGGGGGGGAAACACACCATTAACCTAATGCAAATAGAAAACAAGCACACCTGAAAACCAGCCTACAACACATTTGTGAACTGAGATGGCAGGGAGTAAATGTAAAGAAAAAGGCAAAACCATATTTTTCTTGGTAGAAAAAGGTCAGTGAATGCATTAGCCAGCGGTTTGGCAGGTTTGCACAGGCTTGTTTTGCACTTTGTTGGTTCAGTGCCTCTGTTATATTTTTAACTTGTCAGCAAACAGCCGGAAACTAGGGGTCTGAAAGGCTTAGGGGCACACACGCATGATATATTGGACTATGACACACACACACTTCCTCCTTTTGCAATAGACTGAGGAAAAGTCTGGATACGTCAATAAATGCAGTGAATTTTAATGTTTAATCCGTCGCTATACCATACATGAAACCATAGGAATAAAACTTTTATAATAGAAAATAAAGCACTGATTTTAAACATGTTGCACTGTAGAGAACTTTCCTTAAACTAATTATACTTAATGTGAGTTATGACTGTGCTTAATGAATAAAGCGTCCACAAAAACACAAAACAAAAAAAACCCAATTTCATAAAACTTCTTACATTTACTTTTTTCCTACTAATAAAAAAGTTACATACACGTTTACCTCTCCTAATGCGTCTGTGTAAACCAAGCATGCGTCTGCCTGATGTCACTTGGACATTACAGCTTACCTGTCTCAGTCTGTATCCTTGGTTAAGAAAACGGTTAATCCAAAATGTAGAACCGCTTCACTCCTCAGCTACGTCCTCTCTGTGCTTGACATGGAAGTGGGTGACACATGCAGTGCGTTGGTGTTGAGGTGGTTTGACAAGTGGGTCAGCTGGCCGACCTGGACAGTTATACCAATGAGTGAATGAGGAACTGGTTGGGGATTTTTCTTTCTTAGTGAAACTTCCTGGTACAATTGTCTAATGATTATTTGCATAATCAGCACTGCACACACACATACACACACACACACACACAGAGTGAAAGAGACTGAAAGACACAGCAGACAGATGGCCTTTCAGCGCTACACATATGGAAATACTATACGTTTAACCTGAAGTGGAGGAGAATTTTCCAGTGTGTCATAGAATCCCTTCAATTTAATGTAATCCTCTTTAAAAAAAAAAAAAAAATCCTCTCATGTCCTTTTTAGAAAAAACAATAATTAAATAAGTCATTCTATACACACATACACATTAGTTGTTCACAGTTGAAGTCTAATGCACGTTTCATAAATTCTCCCACAGTGCCACCTGCTGGTCAAACCGCAGGCGTACAGCAGCACAGAAGACTTGCATTTTCCCTCTTGTCCAGTTTATTTCACTTTGTTTGACACGGAGAGTAGAAAATACAGTTATGCACATTCAGACAAACAGCTACAAATTTCACAGAATCATGCACCTGCCAAAATCCAACATGCTGAACAGCTGCATTTACACAGTCTACTTTGAAACCAGAGTGAGCCCCGAAACAGTTACATGGCAGTTTACAATCTGAACACCTGATTGAGTGAGGATTACAAAATAAACAGTTATAGCTAGATTATCTTCAGTATGATTGACTTACTGTCAAGCTGGAGGATTACAGGAAGGTTATAGTTCGCACAAATGGTGAAGAAAATGACAACACAGAGTTTTGTGCATGCGTGGTGGTCTGTACAGATGATAACATCAGCTAGCTATTACACACAGTAGCAGGAACATAGCTCAGGCTCAGTGTCAGAAAACAAACAAACAAACAATGTTATAAATCCTGGAAGCTCCACGGTGTATTGCATATCTACATTTAAGGAACAGTTTGACATTTTGGGCAATGCACTTTCTTAGTGAACTGATGACAGATGACAAGATCAATCTCTTAACAATGTAGCTGGAGCCTGCAGATAATTCGCTTAGCTGTCAAGTATAAAGAGTGTTTATTATGCTAATTTGCAGGTCACTAGTACACTAGAGTAGTGTTGCAAGATTTATGATTTTTAGAATCCTTAATTATCTCATAGAGTTGGTTACGCACTCCCTGGAGGTCACGTCACCTCTCATCCCCCTGCACGCTAAAAAGTGAAGGGAATGTGGGGCCAGTGTATTATAATGTGAAGCCAACAGCTCTGATCCAAGCAACATTATGTGACAAAACAGCTCATCAATGCCATATATGATATTACATACTACATTTTAACGTGATTCAAATGCAACAGGTTTTATCAGTGACCTGTGTAAACGTGCATATCAGACAGTTAGCAAAATGTAAGATTTGGGTGAATTTTTTTTATGCTAATCTTTTAATTGTAACCTGTAAAAAGGACGTTTCTGTTATCTAATTCATTTGTTTACTTCATATTAGTCAATATGTCCATCTGCAGGCCACCTCAGCGCTAACCGCAGACAAGACAACATCACCCATATGTGTCTGAATTCCTACTTTAAGCATTTCTGTCATCACTGTCTTGGTCTTTTGAAACTGGAGGTTAAGAGAGAGGATTGGATGTCAGTGTGAAAGCAAACACTCAGTGGTTAACGAGGAATTAGTCAATGAGTAGATCCTAATAATCCTTCCGAGACTTAAAATGACCATAATTTACAAAACTGACTCAGTGTTTTATCTGGTATGACCTGATATGAGGGGCTGAGCCCATAAACACAGCAGGAAAGTTTTTAGAGGCCATGTCTGGGGGTCATTTTCCCTTAGACCTCAATAGGACTAGAAATCGTCTTGGAACAGGGGTATCTCATAACCTCGTGTCGGTGTTGTTCCTGCATCATCTGGGATCAACATTGCAACTGACCAGTCATGTTCTTGTGATCTCATAGCTTTACAATGTCAAGAAAAAAACAACTTTTGGATCAAATGGTAAAATTTTCAAGTGCTTTACTTATTATTTAATACCATATAATAACTGTATTATCAAGTTAGGTTTGCTGTTAGCCAAATGACTCGTGGTTTACTAGTGACAGTTTTTAACAGCATTCACTAGCTTCTTAGCTAGTGCTAACTGAATGCTCAGTTGCTATGTTAATCCTGGACCAACAATATTATTATGATGTACATGCAACACAGCACAGAGACATCAGATTGAGATCTTGCAACCACATCTATTGCCCCCTGGTGGCTATTAAGACAAACTCTAGCTACATGCATTATATAGCACATAGACATTTTATCATTTCATTAGCAAGAGAGTGAAGAAATGCATTTACAAAAATGTCAAACCATTCCTCAAAGGTCGTGATAATGAAATTGTTAAAAAAAAAAAAAAAAAAAACTTTTGTAAGTATAAACATTTTTTTTAAACATGTATATCATCAATCTTAAATCACTGAGCGACTGACATTTAAACTGAGTGAAAGTGCAATATTAAGTAATATTGGTGTCAACAGACCACAAGGCCACTGCTCTGTTGCATCCTGCTGCTTTCTACAGTACAGAACAGTGAACACACTCTTCAGCATATAAACAAGAAGTCAAACCGCAGCATTGTCCTCTCAGGTTTACTTCAGCCCAATCCATTTTCCTCTGCAATATTATCAACTTAGCGTTAGCATAAAGCCATTAACTGGCAGTACAATCTATCAGCACCACTACTTCTACAGACATGCTACTCCCACTGTGAGCCATTACTTCAGCACATGTCAGTGGTCTTACAAATTGCTTCAACTACTATAAAACTCACAAAGGAGCCTCGTCTATTTTCTTCCTGTATTTCAGTCCCCCAACTTATATTGTTTAGTAACTAAGACTAAAAATAAAATTAGCTTTACAAGAGCTACAAATTGGCCTCTCTGCTTACCCCCGATTCTGAAAAACACCCTGCAATCAATCTGTTATTCTAGTGCACAGCAGAGCCACGCTGGATGTTCACATTACAGCACTTCTCGAGTTGAATTTGGAAGACTGTGCCCTGCTTGAAGGCATATCAGCAGTGATGGTACTACCCTCCAGCCACCAGCCCACTTTGGACAAACAGGTTCATCATGGTGGGAGCCTCACTCCATCCTGCAAATCTCTGTCTGTGGGCTGGAGTGTGCTGCAGGTTAGCTGTTCCTCTGCTCCGCCTCCCTATGAGCCGAAGAGGAGGAGCTCTGGCTGTCCTCAGTGTCGTCTCCATCTACAGAAAAAAAAAAAAAAATAGCAGGTTAGAACACCACATTAAAAACTTTCTGGATGCTATCAGATGTGTAATTGTTGCTTTAAAAAAAAAAAGAGTAAAATACACCATAACATCCATTGTTTGCAATAACTTATATCTCTTCTGCTAGATGTGTTATTCAACTGGAACAACCACTTCATTTGTCCTCACCCTCTTTATATAACCAAAAGATAATTACTTCTCCTGGTGGTAGGAAGTATAGCAGGGCTCATTTCTACCTTTGTTTGGGTTAGTTAAAGTACAAAAATAATGATTTTAAAGTTTTTAGTGTAGGTCGGTGCAAGGAGCACCCTCCAG